TCACCCAGTATAAAATATTAAAAATAAAATGTGCTTTATAAAATGTTTTCATAAATTACTTACACAATAGTTGGCCTTTGAAGCTAACAACCATAATTAATCGATGATTACATTATTACTATATCTAGTTTACGACATGAACTTTTTTACGATCGTTTGAATAATAATAAATATAGTATCGTAATATTTTTCTTTTTCTCTTTCTATATATATATATATAGATAATAGATTACAGGTTTTAAAATTGATTTATATTCTTTCGATTTTATTTTAACTTGTACATCTTAGTTCACAAAGAAATGGACTCTTTGAAAGGAGTATCAGAAACCATGACGTTCGGACAACTGGCTAAGATACGTTAGACTTGTGAATAAGTTTATGCCAATTAACATTTGCTTAGATTATATTTGTAATAATTAATAATTGTTCAAAGTGTTTTTTTGAATGTGTTCATCAACGCACTAGTGATTATTAATTATAACAAATTATAAATATCTAAAATTTAAATAAAATATCAGGCAGGGACATGTTTGGCCCAAAACAGATGACCCCATGGGACTCGAACCTGATGAACAGAAACGAACTGACCTCATGGAATTATATGAGCGCTGCATTTTCCGACAATGATTGTTTGTCACCGGAATTTTGTGCTGAAGATTCCTCCATGCAAGAGAGAAAAATAAGCCTAAGCTCACCGCCATCATCTAGTCGATACGGCAGAAGTTCCAGTGATTCACCTAGACATCAAGAATTTCCACCAAACTCTCAAATGGATTCGATGACCTCACCGTCGTATTCTTTATCACCAATATCACCGAAATATTACCCAACCTCACCGTCGGGTTCACCATTATCACCACCGGCTTACTCCCCTGCATCGCAGTATTGTTCTCCAACATCATCAACTTATTTCCCGACATCACCATCATACTCATCATCATTACTAAGTTATTTGCCAACATTGCAAACATTTTCACCAAGCTACAACCCATCTAGCCCTGTTTACAGCCCATATAGTCCTCCTTACATTCCATCTACTTTTGGTTACAAACCATTTAACTCTAATTACAGTCCATCCAGTTCTGGCTCTAAATCATTTAATCCTGGTTACAATCCATTCAGCCCTGGTTACAGTTCATCTAAATTTGGTTACAATCCATCTAGCCCACGTTACCTTTCACCTTGCTTAAGTTACAGTTTATCTAATTCTGGTTACAAACCACCCAGTTCTGTTTGCAATCCATCAAATCCTAGTTACAATCCGTCTAGTCCTGGTTACAGCTTATCCAGCCCTGATTACAGTTCATCTAAATTTGGTTACAATCAATCGAGCCCTCGTTACAGGCTATCTAACTCTAGTTACAGCTCATCTAATCTTGGTTACAAACCAACCAGTAATGGTGACAATACATCAAATCCTAGTTACAATCCATTAAGTCCGGGTTACAGACCATCTAGCCTCCGTTATAGTCTCTCTAGCTCATGTTACAAACCACCTAGTCTTGGTTGAATATTGATATGCAAAAAACTTTCCAAATGTTTTAGCTTTACTTAAAAAAACATATAATTTGCCAATAAAATTGTAATTTTAAAAAATTAACTTCAACTAAAATGCAAGAATATAAAAGAAAATAATGTGCAAATAAAAAAAGGCTCAACCACTTTTACTATTTTATATTTTCTCCAATTTTGGTGTTTGTTTTAATACTGTTTTACATGCATACTATTTTGATTCAATTGAGACAACTACTAAATTTATCCAAAAAACACTTGTAGAGAGTTTTGAAAAGTAAACTGTAATGAAAAATTATAATATAAACTATAAGGTGACATGATGGCTCAATGGTTAAAGGCGTCTGATCCTGCAGTTGCACTGAATGGATTCGAATACAAAAAGATTTACGCACATTTTAAGAAATGTGTGTGATGCTTGGTTCACACGCGTATAGCCTGTGTGTGATTGTTGAATGATCTTAAAAGATCGAATTAAAAATTTTCATTTCAATACAGTTGCGTCAGTGTAAATTGTATTTTAATTATTACGCAAATAATTATATTTTTTTAAGTTACAAAACAGTTAATTTACGAAAATAATCAATAAACTGTAGTATAATAGATAATTATATCTACGCATATACAAATTTGTCGAATATTAAAGAGAAGCTAGAAAGCCTAAATAGTTAATTGCCATATGAAAAAATTATTTCAACATTAAATTTAATTAGTGACGAATGTTTATTATAGATTGACTCAATTAATTCAATGAAAATCTGGAACAAGAATGGAATACCAAATGGCCGGTGATAAATGTCAACAGTTATAATCAGAATTGTTGAGTCGCGGCATACCGCAATAAGTAATTTCAGTTATCCGATCTAAAAATCAGATTTAAAAATTTTGAATTGAAATTTTTATATAAGATCAATAAAATTGCACAATGCACAATGTTGTCAATAAAACTATTAACAAGACAAAATTGAAAGAATATAACATATTTTTATGACATATTTACTCACGCAGGTGGCATGTTGATTGTAATTTCTTCTGCCCTTTTTTTTTCAAAATTTTTTCTCTATGGCAAAAATTATTTGATGAGTATACTATGTGGAAATATAATAACTCGACTACTCATAAGCAGCACCTTCCCTTGTTTTATATCTCTCTCTCTCTCTTTTTCTCACTTACTTAACCTCAGCAATCAATCAGACTGTAATATCATATTCGCAGAGAACGCAGAGAAAAATGAAGCATTCCTGGTCATCCCAACCAAAGTATCTGAACAGGATGTTTTGCACGCAGTACTCTGTTCCGTCTGCCAGTGAATTTGGTTGTCCACTATGCCAGGCACTCGTGTTTTGAATTAGTTTAAGATGTCTTTTTGGAAATTTATTACAAATTTAATCAAACGATTTTTGATACAAAGTTTGTGCTTCTACCATATTAATAATGCCTTTTACGCTCAATGATTTTTGCTGTTGAACTGCTCTGTTAACTAAAACCGTCATCGAGTTTTCTATGTTTATAAATTCACGAAGATAAAAAATTCTATAACAATTCACGTGCTTATAGAAAAATTTGTTATAACTCGTAGTTTTAAAACTCTGCTCAAAACTAAGATTTCCGTTAAGAGCAATATCCATGCATTTTCAATGAAGTATTTGACATGGACGCAGAATCCAAAAAAAGTTGACTGTCGGTTGTGTTCAGGTTTGGAATTATCGTCTCCTTTTTAAGTATATAGTGTAACGAATGTATTCTGGAACATCACATCTATGAGATTCTATATGTTTATTTGTCATTTAATTTATATATTAAAATGTATTCGAGATTGCGAATCAAAAAAAGTCTATATTTTAACGTTATTAAATTGCAAAAACATGAACATTTCCATAAGCATCAAATACTTAAAAATTGAAATGAGTAAAATTAATCATCTAGCAGACTGTAGCGAGAGAAAAAAAAACATTAAAATCAGATATTGCGTTTCAAATGCAGCTTGTAACGTTAGGTTTCACTTGAATACTTTTGACGTAAAAACGTTTAAAAACTGGTTTGTTCTTCTTGTTTTTTTCATCGTCGTCATCGTGATCATTATCATCGTGATCATCATCATCGTGATCATAATTAATCATACTGGCCACCAATTCTATGTCACTTCCATCATCATTAATCATATTGGCTACCAATTTTGTGTCACTTTCATCTTGAGCATTTTGTACCGAGTTTTCATCATCTAGATCATAATCATCGTGATAATAATCATCGTGATAATAATCCTCGTCATCATTAATCAGTTTGGCTTTTTAGTCACTTTCACTTTGAGCCTTTTGTACTCTGTGTGGCTTATCTTCATCAGTTGCTAAAATAATCTTTTCTCTTCTGACTTTGTAATCATTTTCATTGTTTTAGTTATTTAATAGTTGAGTGTGTGTGTGTGTTGACGGTCGGTTGTAGTCAGGTTCTCGTCTCATTTTTAAGTATTTTGTGTAACGAATGTATAAGGGAGCGTTACATATAAGAGCCTCTATATGTTTATTTGTTCTTTAATTTATCTATTTAAGATAAATTTTCTAGACTGCGAATCTATTAATAATTCTAAATTTTAAAGTTCTTAAATAGCGAAAACACGAAGCATGAGATACTAAAAAATAAAACTAAAAAAAATAAACCATCTAGTAGACTGTTGCGAAAGAAAACTAGAAAAAAAATTAAAATCAGTTATTGCTGGTTAAACTGGTTTGTTCCTCTTGCTCTTTTTCATCGTCGTCATTGTGATCATCGTGATCATCATCACTGATATTTGCTACCAATTTTATGTCATTTTCATCATCATCTTTATCATTATCAATCATATTGGCTACAAATTTTATATCACTTTCACTTTGAGCCTTTTGTACTCTGTGTGGCTTATCTTCATCAGTTGCTAAAATAATCTTTTCTCTTCTGACTTTGTAATCATTTTCATTGTTTTCTTTCACTGGAGTTTGTGTGGAACTTGTCTCACTATCATCATTTTCTAAAAATAAAATAATTCTTTTTACTGCGTTATTATCATCTTCGTCATCTTCATGTTTCCTCTTTTTGTTATCAGCAAAGTTGAGACACTCTTGTACATTTTTGAAGCTATGCCTAAATTCAGTCAATCTATTGATCAACTGTAGCTTTGAAGCTTCGTTCAATTCTTTTCTACTAGGCCTAAGTCTGTCTAAAACATTTCTAAAATTTTTTGCAAAACTGTGAACTCCGTTAATATGGCCATATTCAGACATTTTCACTTTTTATTAATAAAAATTTTCACTCCAGAGATCGTTGAAGAAATCGTTAAATCAGAGAACTGATCGCTACGAGAATGATTGTAATTCCGAACCCACTTCTCTTATATACTGAGCTGGTCTTTGTATGCAATCAATGATAAAATATTTTCGGCTACTTGGCCTGCTTTCTTGTCTATGAACTTTGAAAGGTTTCGTTGTAAAATTTTAAATGATAATTTAATTTTCACTAAAAAATCTCAAATAACGAGTTTGCAATTATAATATATATATATATATATATATATATATATATATATTATTACTTTGAAAGTAAATTAATTACTTTGCGATTCAACTTAGACTTCTGATTCCAATTAATTTTCTAACTAACTACTTTGTTTTGTACAAAATCTGGCAATGTAGAAATTTTGTATTAAAATGTTGAATTAATAGAATATTCGCTACTAAATTTTAACAGACTTTTGAAAAAATGAATAGACGTTTTTATTACAGTATTCATATAAAAAATACACTAACGCTGGTTTTTGATAAATTTCTTTCTTTTTATTGAAGCACTGTCAAAAGAAAGAAGTAAGATGCAAAAAATACATTCATATTAAATATAAAATAAAAGTTTTACAAAAAATAATTTCTTAATAATCTACGTTACCAAAGTTGAATAATTAATACTTTCTGATACATTCTTTTAGCGTAAACTCGCGTCTCCACTTCCATGTTAATTTCTCTTGGGAACACTGGGAGAGGAATATATTTCAACAGGTTCTTCTATGAGGTTATATTTGCTCATGCTACAAAACGTTATACAAAATAAAAAATATTTTAATTTTAATACTATTTGCATTGTTGTGTTGTCCGATAAAAAAAAATAACCCATTAAAATTATTTTTTTTAATTTGAATTGAATTGATAATAATAATTTAAGTTTTTATATAAAATATGAAAACTTAAATTTATAATAAATGTTTTTTTCATAAAATAATTTCTTTAAAGTTATACAGAGTATTCTCGAAATTGTACAGAGTTTGAGTTTTCTAGTGTCTTGTAATAATTTTAATACTTCTCATTTAATTTATTCTTTTGAAGATATCAAGAGCACGCACACACACATATCACACACACACACTCTACACTGCAAATGTCAATACATGTGAATCAACGCGTAACAGACACACACACACCTTGCTTATGACCGAAAGATTTCGCTCTTTCGTAGCCTAATTAATTATCTATATCATTAGTTAACGAACTAATTAATTAATTGAAAATATTCAATAAATTGTTATCAACTGATCCAGTTAATTGACTATAATTCATAGTGTTCAATAATTTATTAAAATACAAAATTATTGAAAAACACAGCCGGGTCCAGCTTGTTAGCATATAAAGACGCATTGTTAGTAAAAGGACACAACACAACATGTTCAGTAAAAGACACAACACAACAAACCAGCACTAATTGCATCAATCAAACAATCAAATACTGACAAATAGTTAATTTTTTTTATTTACATTTGCAAAATAGTGAACAACACGTGTTTACTCGAGTCTGGATGTAATGTACGGCAGCAGGGCTGCTCCGGGACCTCCACCGAAAATGTGAGACCAACACAAAAAAATCATTGTAACTTCAATATAATTTCAATTAAATATTTGTTAAAAACACTGGTTTTACTGAATAAATTGTTAAAATATGTGGAAAAAGAAAAAGCTTTCCTCCATCCACAAATAATCAGTG